GCCAATGGATACATGGTTACACAATCCTACGACTACGAGTGCACAACCACATCGTATTTCCATAGCAGAAGCTCATGCTAGGAGAGAAAAGGGCCTTTGTTATTACTGCGATGAAAAATATGTAGTTGATTATTAATGTAAAGCACCACAATTATTCCTGTTAGATGTTTATATCCAGGAAGGAACAAGTCTAGAGGAGTCAAACCAAACAAACTTGTGTGGGAACAAGAAATCCTAAATTACAATTTAGATAACATTCGATGGTGTCGTTCAATGCTTTGGAAGGTTGTTATACACCTAATACATTGCGAGTAAGTGTAATTATAGGGCAAGAGATCCAAATTCTCATAGATGGTGGTAGCACTCACAATTTTATCTAAACAAGAGTAGCGAGACATTTGGGGTTATCGATAACAGATGCTCCTCATTGGTAGAGATGTGGAAGCAGATGAATGAATGTTGCTCGTTGTGAAAGCGGAAGGATTTGAATGGAAGAAGATAATGGAATTGTAGAAGATGGAGATATATGGATAATTGTCCTATCGAACTCTCCTAGTTGCAATGAAAATGCAAACTTGATAACTGACTCTAACTAGCATTTCTAATCGCAATGGAGAGGCAAACCAAAGTGTGAAGATCTCTCTCACGAAGAACTTGAAAAGAACTTAATTAAAAGAAGCTACGAAAACACAAATAATCAACGCTTGCAAAAATAAAACTCCCGTTTTATTATTAACCAAAGAAATATATTTTACAATGATGGATGAAGCCTCATTTATATAATAGAGGAGTTTTATCAGTCCTAAACAACTAATGAATAAAATAATAAGAAACTAAACATATTTTAATTCTAATTCCTAATAATAATAAACTAAGAATAATGTTTTTACTCGATCTTAATTCCTAATAAAATAATAAATGTAATCCTAAAAGATAATGCATTATCCTATATTAAATTATATTATAAATAATCAATAAAAATATTAAAAATTCGTAATATTTTATAAAATCCCGTATTAATCCGTATAGGAATTTCTGCATGCATTGTCTTTACAAAAATGAGTGTATCTTGAGTTCTCGATATCGGATTGATGCGATAACTTGAAGAAGAACTTAATACATGCTCAAGTCATGATGAAAAACCAAGCTAATAAGAAACAACGAGAATTAGAAATACCAGAGGGTAGCTGGGTATTTATCTGTTTGCAGCCTTATCGATAACTCTCGTTACGTTTACAACAATCACAGAAATTGGGTCCAAAGTTCTTTAGACCGTATCGAGTTGTGAAAAAAATGGGACAAGGCTGTTGAAGGGTGGGTTTGAATTATTTTCGATATTGTCGAAGTCGGTGACAGTTGTCGACGAGTTTGATTTGATTGTAATTTTATTTTATTTTCGTACCACATACATATATTTTTTATTTTGATTAATGTGGAGTAAGTACAAAACAATATTTGTTCAAAAATAACTCTCAATCATTTGACTAGTACCATATAGATCAAATTGAAAGAATTTAAAATATAAGAGACTAAAATGAGAACTTCAAATTTTTTCAATAAGATTACATGTAACATATCCTTATAAATAACGATATATTTATGTACAAAAGAATTGAATTTTCAAGTCTAACATATTAAAAAAAAGGAAGGAAGTTCAAATTTTAAACTATATTTATAGTTCAAACTCCAAAATTTAATTCCTGCAAAATTCATGTTTTATTCTCTATACTTTCATTTCCTTCCATTTTGATCCTAAAATTATTTTTTAAAAAAAGCAAAATCGTTACATTACAAACAACTTTATTAAAATCGTTTTTAACTGTTGATGACTTTATTTATTATTATAACATTAATTTTATTTTTTAAATATTTTTTCATAATTTTTTTAAAAAAAATTTCAACATCATTATTATTTACATTAGTTTAATCCAACAAAATTCACTGAAAATATTTTAGACTTCAAAGCATTTATAAATTTCAAGCCACTCATTTAGCATGAGTGACGTGGATTGGAACAACAAATCAACAAGTGACGTGTACAAAAATTCAAAGATTTGACGTATCAGATCACGTGGGAGCTCACGTTGGATGACGAAATCGCGTGAGGTTCTGAGCTGGAAATCAATAAGAAATCTAAACAATTTTCAGTCTTTTTAAATAAATAATATAAAAAAAGAAAAATACGTTTAAAACGTCACTACATAAGGACTATCAGATGCGTTTAGAACCGACCATTGTTTTAGATCCTTAAATTATTATTTTTTTTTAAAAATAAAAAAAATTTATCATTAAAGTCAAATTAAAAATAGGTAAATTAGCTGAGTTAGTAGAGTACAAGGTTCTTAACCTTGAGGTCGTGGGATCGAGTCCCACGGAGGACATTTCATAATTCGGAGGTCTCTTACGGAAACTGCTCTCAATTTGGTGTTGGAGGTAACCTCCTATCTTACCTCTCCCTTACCTCATACATATGAGAAAAAGGGACATGCATTTTTATTTAAATTAGCTGAGGCTTGAAAAGTAATTTGACTTTCGTAAAAAACTAAAATCAAGTCAACAATAAGGTATATTCTCTTTCCTCTATTTATAAAAAAAAATGGTTGGTCCTTGTTTTCATATGTAATGGGGTAATGGGAAGGTAATATAGTAGGCTGCCCCCAACACCAGGTTGAGAGCAGCTTCCGTAAAAGACCTCTGAATTATGAAATGCCCTCAGTGTGACTTGATCCCACGACCTCAAGGTTAAGAACCTTGTGCTCTACCAACTTAGTTGGCTGGTATGTTTAGTAAATTTTTTTAACGAGAAACTTACGCTCGTTTTATTTTATTTGATTTTTGTATCTCTGAAATTTTATAATTTTATGGTAAATTATGTATTTAGTACCTAAACTATCAGTTTTCGTCTGTTTTAGTACTTAAACTTTTAAATTTTTCAAAATTATACATAATGTTTAGTTTCCATTTCATTTTAGTATCCGTCATTAAAAATTTAATGTGTTTAGTACATGAATCATAAGTTTTGGACCGTTTTAGTACTTAAACTTTAAAAAAAATCAAAACTTAATGTTAAATTTTGAATGAGAGTACTAAATGAAACAAAAATTAAAGTTTTTAACGTTGGAGTATTAAAATGAAACAAAAACTAAAACTTTTAGTATGATTTTGGGAAAAAATTAAGTATTAAAATGGACAAAAACTAGTAATTCAAGCACTAAATATGTAATTTATCCAAATTTTAACATGAATTCTTATATATGTATACTCATTGCATAAAATTATACTCGTCCCTTATTTTTAGTAAATTTCATCTACAAACTTTGAAATAAGTATTTTTTTTAAATACGAGTAATGTTTCTAAATTTAAATTTTAAGATTTATATATTTTTATCCCTTTAAAATTCGTTTATAATTGTTGATTGATTTTTAATTTTATTTTTGAATTTTAACTGAAAACATGATTATTTCTAATTTAAAAGTTCACAAGATTATATGTAATTTAAGAAATTGGGTAAAGTACACAAATGGTTCCCCGACTATAGAATACTACTTTATTAAGTTCCTAGACTATTAAAAGTTATAAAATAGTCCTTCGACATAGAATGTTACTTTGTTAAGTCCCTAGACCCATTAAAAGTTATAAAATGATCACATGACTATTTATTATGTTTCAAGCTTGTCATTTTTCGTTAAAAAAATTGACGGTTGTCTAAGTTGGACGTTAACATGGTGACTGAGATATGATAGTCGTTTGAGATTCTGATATCAAATTTTATCATATCACATTAAGCAGGTTAATATTCAACTCGTAATACCGTCATTTTTTTAATGGAAAATGACGAGTTTGCAATATAATGAGCAGTCGGGTAACCATTTTGTAACTTTTAATAGTCGAACAATTCAACAAAGCAACACTCCATAGTCGAATGATGATTATATAACTTTTAATAGTCAATGAACTTAATAAAAAGTACCCTATAGTCGGAGGACCAGCTGTTTACATTACCCTAGAAAATTCTATGTGTATCTTTACGCGAAGAAGACAAAAAGAAAAGGAAAAATGAGAATAAATAACATCGATTTGGTCGGTGATGATGAATTGAAATAAAAATTTCAATACTCGCTTTGGGCGGTCAAATCAAAATGTTTGAACATGTCAAGAAATTTATGCCTCATTGCTTCTTTAAGGTTAGTACAATCTGATTTTACTTTTATTAATAAGCTTTAAATAGGAAATAAATATATTCAAATTTTTAAAAAATAAAGGACGAATTTTTAAAAAATAATAGGAAATTGGGTTGAAATAACAATAAATCGTTTTGGTCATTCGTTGTTAAAAAATTAACACAACTGTTGACATTATATTTTATTTTTCAATGATGATGTAGCATTATCTTATGATGACATGTCAATGTCATCATTAAATTCTTAATGACGGGTGACCAAAATAAAATCAAAACTTAACATTAGCGAAAAAATAGCTGAATGACTAAAACGAAACCAAAATGATAGTTGAGTGATTAGATACGTAGTTTACCCTATAAGTTTTAAGCTTTTATGACTAAATGTGAACGACCTCTTTGAAAAACTATATACCACCCGAAATGAGTGTCAATTAAACCCAACAAATTGATTCCTTTCTTTTTGTACTTGTCCGACAAGTATTCGGACTCCAAAATTGAATTGATTTCGAATAAAAATATTTTATAATTTAAATTAAAGCAATTAATTATTATTTTATGTCAAATATAAGTAAAAATAAAATGATTAGTCGTGGAATATTATGGATTTTTTTGCATGGTATATAACTAAAATCAAACGTGTTAATAAGAAGTGACACCATAGCCATCACCTTGACCATCGAGATACATTGGACAAAGAAAGTCCTTGAAAACCACGTGGGATCAATTCTCAGCCAAGAAATTTTCCACGTGTTTTAATTTTGTAGGACCTATAACGCGTTTTAAAAACCTAAGCCATGCAGATAATACGAAGGCGCTGCTATGGAGGGTGCAGGTGCATCTAAGGGCAAGGAAGAAGGGTCCGAGACGACTCGGTACCGGGGCGTACGGAGGCGGCCGTGGGGGAAGTTTGCGGCCGAGATACGCGACTCGAATCGGCACGGCGCTCGTGTTTGGCTAGGGACTTTTAACACCGCGGAGGAAGCCGCCCGAGCTTACGATAGAGCCGCTTATGCAATGAGGGGTCACCTGGCGATCCTCAACTTCCCGCAGGAGTATCCGATGGGCAGCGGCGCCGGCACGGCTGCTGATGCATCTTCTTCTTCGTCGTCTTCAGGGAAACAAGTCCTCGAGCTGGAGTACTTGGATGATAAGGTGCTTGAAGAGCTCCTTGATCAAAATGATGATAAAAAGGAGGAAAAGAAGTGAAATTCAAGAATAATAACTTCACATCATCCCATTATTTAGGGCATGATTTGTTCATCTTGGACCTACCAAGTGCATTCTTCTTGTTCAGATTTTCACATTGGTTAATGAGCTTAGCCTTCTTGATTTTACTATTCTTGTTTGTTTTTACTAAACTGTCACAACTCACTGTTACAAATTAGTGATAATAATATTCAAGAATAGGACATAAAGGAAGATAGTTCTATTTTCCCATTGCCATTGTTGATTGGAGTAGTAAATTGTGCTTACCAGAAAGGATTGGGCAAAATATACTATTGAAGAAGATAAAGTAGGAAACTATTATTCAAAACTCCTAAATGTTACACGAATCAAGTTACTTCGGTAATAAAAGAATTATTATAAAGAAATAAGTTAAAAAGAATTAAATTTGAACTTTAAAAATATCCGCTTCGATCTAACCCAAGACAAATCCACACGTTTGGATTCTTCTTCAGCAAGGGTTTTTTTTAATATTATTACGAGCTCAATTTTTTTTCTAATATTTATTATTATGAGTCTACTTTTATAACTTTTCTAATATTTATTTAAGTGTCCAATTTTTTGTCATATTTTTTAATATTTGTTACTAAAGGCCCAATTTTTTAATACTTGAGCCCAATTTTTTCAGTACTTTTTATAAATGTCTAATTTTTTCAATATTTGTTTATTATGAGCATACTCCTAAAATTTACTTTTCTTTTAATATTTGTTTTTAGGAACACTTTTTTTCAATATTTGTTATTATGGAACTAGCCTTAAAGTTTATTTTTTCAACACTTGTTATTAGAAATAATTACTTAAATAACGATATTTAACCACAATAATGACCATTATGCAGTGATAACGATATCGTCTGAAACTGCGATATCCACAATTGTTATGTGCACAATAGCATATGTTATTAAAAAAAATCACAATCACGATACTTGTAGTGGCTGCAATATCATCCTTTATGCCAGTAATAACAATAAACGCAAAGCGGTCAAAAACATGAATAAAAACTGTAATTTAAATCCTTGATAGGGGCCTAATTTTTTGGTTCATCCAAAGGTGACCAAAATCTCAGAAACGGGCCTGCCTATTCGTTTGGCCAACACCCGGTGTTCACGCTTTTGAACTTGTCGTTGGAGATGAGCCGCGGATTATAACACGAAAACAACATGAATACAGTGGTTACCATGTGATGGATACAATATTCATGGGGATGGACTTGCCTATAGAAGATCTCCAACATTAACAACCAAAGCTCCGAGTCTGCAAGGAACATCAACCCATTAATTATGATGAAGAACTTGCAGACTGCCCATTTGATCTTGTAGAAGAATGGTGATGATGTTACTGTCTTTGTGATTGGTGATTCATAATGTCAATTCTGGTTCAGGACATGGAGGATAGTAATGCCCTATAAGGAACATATAGTCAGTGCAACCAATGTCTTTAAGGCAACTAGGGTTAACCCCAAGAGCCTCAGACAAGAGTTCAAGCAATGTGAAGGACAATGTCATTACTTGCTTGGTGTAATCCATCAGTATATCTGCAATACAATTTACAAAAAAGAATCGGCTTTATCGAATATATGTACGAACGCTAGCATAGTTTATAACCACTTACTTGCAAACTAGAGGCAAATCTGCATGGTGAGGAGGATCATCACAGACCGTGATACAAATCAAACTGTCCCTCCAATTAGCAGCTTGTGATTTGAACAAATCATAGTTGCTTAGGTTGTTGAGAATGCTCCAAAACTGGGGAGTTGAATATGTCAATCCAGAAGAAACGGGCCACAACCCCACGTTTCAGTTTTTTGAATTCATAATGCCTATTTGTTCTCTTTATTTGTTAGTCACGATGGGCCATACTCCTATTTTTAGGAGGTTGTTTTTTCTTCTTTAGTTGTTTGAAGCCTATAAATAGGCTTGTCTAACTTGAATAAAACGTGTGGCAAATTATTTCAATTATTGAGTATCCCTGTTTTTATGTTTTCTTTTGCATCTGTGTTTTTTAAAAACTAACAGTCTGGTATCAGAGCAAGGTTTCGTCGATATCAATTGGGCGTGAAAGAGAGAATCACGAGAGATTGAGAGAGTATGGAAACAAATTCATCCTCATTATCGTAACTGCTAATTCCTCTGTTTAGCGGTGAAAAGTATCAGTTTTGGAGTGTAAAGATACAAACCTTATTCAAGTCCCAAGACTTGTGGGAATTAGTTGAAGAGGGCATTGGCGAAACAGATGATGCTGCTAAGATGAGGGAAAATAAGAATAATGATGCAAAGGCTCTTTATCTACTACAACAGGCAGTCTATGATGATATTTTTCCAGCCATCTTAAGTGATTCTTCTTCCAGAGAAGCATGGTTGACGCTACAACAAGAGTATCGAGAGCACAGCAAGATCATAACCGTTAGATTGCAAACTCTTAGGCGAGAGTTCGAAACATCGATGATGAAGAAGGATGAAACAATACAAGACTTTCTCTTTAGAGTTAAGTAAATTGTGAGCCAGATGCGAAATTATGGAGAAAAATGCAGTGATCACATTATTGTCACCAAAGTTTTAAGAAGTTTAACTTCACGATTTGATCATGTTGTTGCAGTAATAGAAGAATCAAAGGATTTAACTCAGATGTCTTTTGATGAGTTAATGGGATCTTTACAAGCACATGAAGCAATGATCAATCGGCCTTAAGAAAAAATGGAAGAGAAGGCATTTCATGTTAAGGGGGAGTATACTTCAGGAGCAGAAGACTCAAAGCGAGCAGACGAATAAGTGTATGGCAGAGGCTGTAGAAGAAGCACTAGTCGAGAACGAGGAAGAGGAATAACTCAAGGAATTCAATGCCACTATTGCAAACGATATGGCCACGTTCAAGCAGTTTGCTGGAGGAAACAGAATCAAGCAAATTATACTGAAGAAGATGAATTTGATGGAGGAGAAGAGGATTGCGGGGCGTTCATGGCATGGGTTGATCCAAAAGCAAATAACCAACAGGTCTGGTTCCTGGACAGCGGATGCTCTCACCACATGACAGGAAATAAAAGTCTACTCTCAGGTCTAGACGAAAGCTACAAAAGAATAGTCAGGCTTGGAGACAGCAAACAATTACAAGTTGAAGGAAAAGGGACTGTGGCCATGCAAAATAATCATGGTAAAATCAACTACCTTTACAATATTCTTTATGTGCCTAATTTGTCTCAAAATTTGCTGAGTGGGGACAGTTGTTGTGAGTGGTTTCATTATTACCTTTGACAAGTCTTCGTGCTTGGTAGCAAGTAAAGCATCTGGAAAAGTTTTGGTGAAGGCAAGCATGACACAAAATAAATGATTTCCTGTGGATCTTACAAGGATAGAGACATGTGCATTGATAGCACAAAAAGAGGAAGTTAAGACTTTGTGGCACAAAAGATATGGTCATGTCAACATCAATAATTTAAAGATACTGCAGTAAAAGGATATGGTCAAAGGATTACCTATGCTTGGAACTTTAGATATTTGTGAAGCATGTATTTACGGCAAACAAAGTAAGAAGTTATTTCCTACAGAAAAGACGTGGAGGGCAACAAAAATTCTGGAATTGGTTCATGGTGATCTGTGTGGACCAATGCAAACCGAGACTTTTGGTGGGAGTAAGTATTTTTTACTATTCACTGATGACTTTAGTAGAACGGGTTGGGTACTCTTTTTACAGAAAAAGGATGAAGCATTGGATCATTTTAAAAAATTCAAAAACTTAGTTGAGAAGCAAAGTGGAGAACCGATCAAAGCTCTTAGAACTAATAGAGGAGGAGAATTTACCTCGAAAGATTTCTGGATGTTTTGTGAAGAAAATGGTATTCACAGGGAGCTTACAACACCTTATACTCCAGAGAAAAATGGAGTGGCGGAGCGCAAAAATCGAACAGTAGTGGAAATGACAAGAAGCATGTTGCAAGAGAAGGGGATGCCAAAACACTTTTGGGGAGAAGCTGTAGCAACAGTTGTGTATCTTCTGAATATTTCATCAACAAGAGTTGTACCAAACCGAACTCCCTATGAAGTTTGGACAGGTAGAAGACCTAGGGTAAGTCACTTAAGGATTTTCGGTTGTGTTGTATATACCCTGCTTAATTCTCTTGTTCGAAGAAAGTTAGATAACAAAGCATTAAAGTATGTTTTTGTTGGTTATTGTAACAACTCAAAAGCATATAGATTATTTAATCCTGTGAGTGGAAAGATTGTTATTAGTAGGAATGTGATATTTAATGAAGAAGGAATGTGGGCATGGCGTGAAAACAATGAAGGAGTTGTTCAAATTGAAGAATTGAATGATGACAATCATGCTGAGGACGTGGCGTCCATTACCGAAAGTGAATCAATCAGTCCTAAAAATATCAATAATAATTCCAACAGCTCTTCACATGTTCAATCAGGTACAAATACTCCCTCAAGCATAGAAACAATTTCTGAATCATCCAGTACAAGTGAAGATACAAGACCACGTGGGTATATATCTCTAAATGAAATATATGAAGCAATACAAGCCTTATATGTGGTTGACCCAAATTCATTTGAAGAAGCTGTCAACAAGGATGAATGGAAGCAAGCTATGGAGCAGGAACTTGCAGCTATCAAGAAAAATCAAACATGGGAGTTAGCAGACCTGCCTGAAAATAAGGAAGCAATCGGAGTAAAATGGATCTTCCGGACAAAATTCAATGCAGATGGAAGTATTCAAAAGCACAAGCTCGATTGGTGGCTAAAGGCTATGCTAAAAAACGGAATAGACTACGAAGAAATATTCTCACATGTTGCAAGGTTCGAAACTGTAAGAATTCTTCTATCCCTTGCTGCCCAATTAGGATGGTCTATCTATCAATTTGATGTAAAATTAGCATTTCTTAATGGATAGTTGGAGGAAGAAGTGTTTGTAACACAACCTGAGGGTTTCATAATTAAATAAAAGGAGGAAAAAGTTTACAAGTTGAGGAAGGCGCTTTACGGTTT